GTGAATATTATATATGAAGTAGGGAAAAGAATAAAAGCATTAGTCACCTGGCTATGAAAGGATAAAATAATGGCAAATTGAAATAAATCCAGTGTTATTGACAAGGTTTTGGGGTGCTGAGAACCCCCAAAATGTCAGGGTACGGAATGGTGTGGCCTGGAATGAATTCACACACTCAAACTGTCTTCTAGTCAAGTGGCAAAGTTTATTGTGACTTGTAGAAGCAGGTGAAGTTCTTAGGGAACCTGTAAGCTAATGAGGATGAAGCTAATGCTTGTATGGAAAAGGGACAGGGAAAGGAATGTCAAGAATGCCAATTAGGTGATCTGGGGTAGGATTAGGGAGTGGTCAGTATATGTAAGTAGTCCAGGGGCTGGGTTGCTGGAATGTATGGGAGAACTCTGGGAGTCAACAGAGATAGCTTTGTTGAAGGGACAAGACAGTTCTGTTCCAGGTGCCAGAGGCAAAGTCCTTGGGCCAGGCACCCTGTACTTACCTTACTGATAGCTTTTATTTGAGGAATTACAGGGTCAGGTCTGTATGTGTCTGTAACAAGGAAAGATTTTTTTCACAGGCATCTACTAAGATTAGGGTTACTTCCAGAGATGTCTTTGCCTTTTGGAGTCCAGGTCCTGTCACTCCATTACTATGTTTTACCTATCTTCAAACTAGTGCTTTAAATGGTACTGGCTATAGGTAAGAGTAATTATGTAAACACAATGATGATAAGGATAACATTAATAATGTTACTTTTTGCCAAGCACTTTGCAATTATTATCTCATTTGATCCTCTCAATAACTCTGGGTGATAGATAATATTGTTGTTACTGTTCAGTGGTTTTTCAGTCATGTGCTACTCTTCATCACCCCATTTGGGGTTTTCTTGGCAAAGTTACTGGAGTGGTTTGCCATTTCCTTCTCCAGTAGATTAAAGCAAACAGAGGTTAAGTGACTTACCTGCCCAGGATCACATAACTAATAAGTGTCTAAGGCCATATTTGAACTCAGGTCTTCTGACTCCAGGCCCAGAACCCTATCTGTTGTGTCATCTACCTCTCTGTCCCCATTCCACACATACCCTTATACTGCTCTACCTTTAGTGAATATATTAAGGGACAGGGGAGATGGCTAATTATTAAACCATATACTTTTCCCATATACCTAACTTGAGATCTTTGTGATAATCTGACCTCTTTTGTTTTTACGTTTTTACTTTTTGCTTCTCTGTGTAAATACAACGTTTTATAAAATTGATTTTAGCATGATATTTGAGTTTGGCCATTGTTATAGTTTGTTTTAGAAATTGAAAAACCAGTTTTATAAGCATGTTTCATGCAGTATTGAAAATAGTATGTTATGTTAAAGAGGATTGGCCCCTGAGCAGCAAGAGTTGCCCACTCAGATCCAAAAGGGAGACAATTTCCCATCTGTCACCTTCCTTTCTCGGGACTTGGGGTTCTTCTTCTTTGACTTCTCCTGAGGGGAGGGAGGGCTTCTCTGCCCCCTCTTTGGCAGCTCAGGTAGCAACTTATACATGACACTGAGAAAATGTGCTTGTCTAGGAGAGTCTGAGACAATCTTAAGGCCTGGCTGCCTCATCTGCTTTGTGTTTTTGTCAGAGCACAGGTAACTAGCCACTTTACAGCTTTGGTAGACATGTTATGGACTCATCGAGGGTTCTTGGTGATTGGCAGTAGGAAGTGCTCCCTATTGCAATCACAATGTTTCATAGAGAAGATGAGCTTCACTGCCAGAAAGAAGAGCAAAAATCATACTGCCTTATCTTGACAGAGATAAAGACCTTGAGGGAGTTTCTCTTGACTGTGCAGATCCAAGGTGAAAGTGAAATGACTGTTTAGCAGTCCCTAAAATGGTGTGTGTGTGTGTGTGTGTGTGTGTGTGTATGTTTTATCAATCTTCCAGTTGTTGTTCAGTCATTTTTCAGTTGTATTCACCTTTTCATGAACCCATTTGAAGTTTTCTTAGCAAAGATACTATTGGTTTGCCATTTCCTTCTCAGCCCATTTTATAGATGAGGAAACTGAGGCAAGCAGGATTAAGTGACTTGCTTAGGGTCAAACAGCTAGTAAGTGTCTTGAGTCCAGGTTTGAACTCCTGAAATTATCTTCTTGATTTCAAGCCCAGTGCTTTATCCACTGTGCCACACTGGGGTGTGGGCCACTATTTCATGATATTTCATTCTCTTATCAGTGTCAGCTTAAGAGTCTTTTGTGTTTTAAGCATTTCTTTTGAAGTGGGGAAATAAATAACTCTCCTATACCTGATCCACTTTGTATGTTATTTCTTTATAAAGTGGACCCAGACAATCCCTTTTGGTGAGAGACTTCTAGAGATGAGCTACACTTAAGCTTTAAGTGATTTCCCCCAATACTCCTGAGTAGGATGGTAAAGAGCTAGAAAAACCTAAATCCTTTCTTTAGAGACCAGGCTTCTCTAGTTCTAAATTTTGTTTTCTTGAACCTAGAGCTAGGGTCCGCTAGAAGGATGCATGTCCTTAACCCCTTGGCCTTGTAGGTTTTTACACTTGTATTCTTCATGGATATATAATTTATATCCTTGATAAAGGGGTTCGGGAACAAGTGGGCTTTCACAAGTAATATTCCAAATAAAATTATATCTTTTTGGTGTAGACTATCAGTTTCGTTGGTGTAGGGAGCTCAGTGAGGAAACTATCAGTGCACATCTTTAGTATGACACAATTGACTGAAATCTGTAAAAGAAAAAAATAAGCAAGATCTCTTTATCACTTGTCAAGTATATAAACATTTGATTTGGTAAAGCAAAATGTGGCTTTAAAGGTTCTTTTCCAATATAGTGTCTACAGTCTGCCCAACAGAATCATTCAAGGTAACACATGAATGGCTTTTGGTCTGTGTGGTGACTTGAGAATTTATTAGATCATAGATTTAATTGAATCTTTGAGCAATTGAGTAATTATGAGATAATTTGAGGAAAGAGAGAACACTAACAATAGATGGGATCAGGATTTCTTCTCTTAAAAGCTCTTGAAAAATTTTGTGATAGTGGCTCAACTGTTGCATCTGCCAGTTCTTTCAGAAATTTACTAAGCAGGACTCTGTTTAGATGACTTGAGTTAAAGTGTTGTATTTCTTCTTCCTGTTTTATAACTTATCTTTCATGTCAGTTCATGAGAGACAGCATGTTGTAGTCTAGAAAAACTGGACTTGGAGTCAAAGAGGGGATCTCAGTTCAAATCCTCGCTGTGCTACTTACCAGCTGTGGGATCTTGGGGAATTTCAGTTAAGTTCTTTCGGTTTCCTCTTCTGTAAAATGAGGGGGTTGGGCTAGATGCCCTTCCTCCCCCCCCCCCCCGCAATATTCTTTTCTAGCTCTAAAGCTATGAACTCATGATTCTACCCTATTGTAAATGAGCCTGGTTTGCCCAAGGAGTAGACTAGCTAAGAGTTGAGTCTCATTACAGAAAAATTGGCACCAGGTGACTTTTTTTTTTTTATCCTCAGCAACTTCTAGAAGTTTTGGTCTATGTTGGTATAGAGAGTACTAATGTTTATGAAATTATAAGTCTTTTGAAAAAAAATCTAGATAAAATCTAAATACCTAGGTGGAGAGGTAACAAGATGACACACGCATCTATGCCTGCGAATTTGTTTTTCTCATGGTTAACTATACAGATATATGTGTATGAACAAGGTGCTGTAAGAATTAATAGGAAGATCATTTGTAAATGAGGGATCAGGAAAAGCTTCATGAAAAAGGTTCATGTTTGACGTAAGTTGAAGTCAAATTTTTTGTCTCTGTAATATATTCTCATCTTGCCTAGGTTATATCATTATGACAGTTGTAACTGTTGTGTTTTAGTTTCTAGTTCTTAAGTATCTTTGTTTGCAGGAAGAAATATTCATCAGATTTCTGTTAGCTAAAGTAAATCTCTACTTTTTAGTAGGTATTTAACCCTTAATAGAATAGCATCAGTAGAGGACACTGATTTATTTTCTTTTGAGTGAATAGTGGTTTCTGTTGTGGTACAGTAATCTAGTAGACCTAAAAGTTGTTGATTTACCAAAATATTGCTTTTAATTGAGCAGTCTTTGCACCCTAGAGTTTTGACTAGGTTTATGCTACAGTTGATTTTTCTTTTCATGTCCAAACAAATTATAGCAATAGCACAAAAAAGAAAAAAAAATGACTTTTTCAGCAGCCAGGAAATAAATTGTATGTGGTCAGACCATGGACTTGTTATTTCAAATTTCAAAATTAATACCAAGTTGGAAGAAAATAAAATTGAAATGGTATAGTAATATACAGATGAGATAACTCTTGCCTGATTTATTTAATGAGCTACTGATGACCCCCCAAATGGAAAATTAATAAAAGAACACATACTAACACAGGTTCTTGCCATTTCTTAAGGAACTATGAGAAGAGTTAAGAGGTATAGGATGAGTGACTTTGTGGCTTTTGAATCAGGTCTTTATAATTTGGCTATTTTGTTTGAAGAATTATGAATTGAATCTGTTTTCATACTTAACATCTCATCCACACCCTCTGTCCCTCTGATTGGACCCTCTGACTAGAGGACAGAGCAGTGGGCTCCAGGACCTTTATTTAAGGAGAGGACTCAGAAAGACTTCTCCCCATTTACAACTAACCACACTGCTTTTGAGATTCTTTGGACTTCTCCATCATGACCCTGGATGGGTACCTTCTTCCCTGCTCCTGCCTTCTGCCTTTTCCCTTTTCAGCTTCTTATTTGTGTTATCTTTTCCCGTTAGATTTTAAGTTTTTGAAGTCAGGAACTGTCTTTTTATTTGTATTTAAATCCCCAATGTTTAGCACAGTGCCTAGCGCGTGGTAGATACATGTTTATTGACTGAAGTTCTACATTGTTTCATTATGCTTATTTTCAGGTGTAAGTGCAAAAATATTTTTAAAAAACCTAACTTAAATGGTTTCAGATTATGTTCTCTCCATTAATATATTATTGAATCATGACTTACATATGACTTTGTTACCATAGTCTGTGGTAGATACAGCACCTCAGGGCTCTCCAGAAATTCCAGCTCTTCCTTGGATCAGATCCTTACCCAGGGCAATCAGCCTTCAGACTTTCTTGGGTCATTGTGACAGAATGGATAGAGTGCTAAGCTTAGATCCGGGGTTCTTAACCTTTGTTGTGTCATGATCCCTTTTGTCAGTCTGGTGAAGCCTGAGGATCCTTTCTCAGGATAATGTTTGTGCCTCTATTCATATTGGAAGGAAATGCTAAATTTCATTTAGAGGTTAGTGAAAATAAAGATGTAATTTTTTTCCCATTCAAGTTCATGGGCCCCCTAAAATCTGCCCTTGGACCCCTTGGAGTTCTGTGGACCCCAGTTAAGAACCTCCAACTTAGGAATATTTGGTCTAACTCTTTGCGCTAACATTTATTAGCTGTGTAACCTTAGGCAAATCACTCAACACTGGAAGGACCAAGTGCACCAATTGTGTCAAATGATGCAAGGATTTAAAAAATTTTTAAAAATAATTTTACTGTAATATTCTATAACTCCTGTCTCTCAAAATTTATAAATACAAACAATCACAGGCAGATGTTATAATTTTCTTTGAAATGAAAATTTTCATCCTACTGTGTCTACTATATACAAATGTACTGTCAGTGATGCAGCTTGATGAATACCTTTCAGTACTTAAATTCCTATCTTTCTTAAGCTCTCACAGCCTTAGTTTCCTCATCTATCAAATGGAGATATTAATAACTCTAGTACTTACTTCTTCCATTCGTTTTAATGTTTAAATGAGAATGTATGAAAAGTGCTTTGCAAATCTTAGTAACCTGTGTAAATTGCTGTTCCTTTACCTTGGTTCCTTGGGTTCAGAAACTTGTGTTTACCTGATCCCTAATTTCACTTTCCTCATTTTTGCTTGATGTCGTCATTATCTGCTGCTTATACTCCGTTGTCCTCATATGCTTGTCTGCCATATCAAACCCCTAATGGATTTTCTGTGGTTTATTTGCAAGTAAAAATGGAATCTGCAAATTCAGAAATCATATTCCAAAATTAAGTTATTAAAAATGCATAAAAATAAACTGCATCACACTTAAGTTTTCTAACCCAGTATTTAACTATGATTCTCTAGGCCTGAAGCAGCCATCATGTTTCTAGGCTGGAAGAACAAGCTTGTGACATCTAAGTGTATTATGGTCCCCAAAGTTGTTCCTCTCCTACAACACTTGGAGGGGCAGTTTGGGATTCAATTCCCGTTCGCTCTTTGGCTCCTTCTCACTTAGGCATTCTGTAATCCCAGTGTTACTGTCATCCAAATTTTTGATATCTTGTCTTTTGCCCTTTCTTCCCAGTCACTTACTATAACTCTTCCCCTGTAACCAAAACTTTATATAGGGAAAAACAGTGTTCACATCAACTCAGTAACAGATTATTTCCTCTATCTGGACCTCAGTTTCCTCTAGAGGACTGAGGCTCAAATCTCAGCTCTGTTATTTACTACCTGTGTGACCTAGGATAGATTACTGAATCTCTCTGACCTTCATTTTTTTCTTCTGTATGATCTTATGAACTCAAAACCACTATTTCTAAAGTCTATAGATGAGCCATTTTATTTTGTTAAGAATAAGATGAGTGATACCTATGTATCCCAAAAGTCAGTGTAGTTTTAAGCAATTAAAGCTTGCTTTTGGGACTTTAGAGACACTGTGTGTGTGTGTGTGTGTGTTTATATATACACAGCATATAATCTTATTTTCCAGAGTTTTGTTTTTGGTTCCTAATGTTTCTTAACTATTTTTAAATCAGATTTTGTTACTATATAACAATAATTATAGTATGTATATCATACTTTTAATTACCTGAATTTCCACTTTGCTTTCTCATCTTGTATATTAGAGGCATAGCATTTTTTCTTTCAGATATTTTGATCTCTCAATTAAGACCCTAGCTGCTATGGAACTTTGTGATATTTTTACTCCAGTTAACCAGCTTAGGTACAGCCAGTGGTATGAGTGAGTCTCTTCCAGTAAATCTTTTACATTATGCTAATTGAAGCACTTCAGTGTTTGCTAAAATATAGTTAGTTCAGCACCTCCTGATGTGACCTGCACTTCTGGAGTGCAAAGAGACTGACCTGGGCTAAGTAATAGGGACTTTTTCAAGGACAAAGATTGGAAGATAATGGGAGGTTAAAGAGAAGCTATCATTGGGACATAAAGAATATGAAAATTTTTATATAATAAATGAAAGGTGAAAATTCTATGAAATATCAGTAGTAGTTCTCTGATGTAATGGGATAGTTCTCACCTAAGTAGTTCTCTGCAGGAAAAAAGTGGAACTATACTGCAGGATACCAATCATCTTCTTTTGAAATTGATGTACACAAAGCTACTCTATAGTTTTGTATGAGTTTTCTCTCTCTGGGGTAGTATAATACTCTAAGAGGGATGATAAAAGTCTTTTGTGCTAAGCTCTTTGATTCTGATTAGGTCAAAGAGAACTATAAGTTTAGGTTCATAATGATCCTGTGTTTGTCACTCAGATCTCTAGCTGGTTCAGTGTTTCCAGTCTTAGGGATCATTCTCAAAGTCTGTTTAAGGATGAATAAAAGATTTTACTTTAATTTGAAAATGTACTGGTAGTTCTGCTTAGGGTCTGGATCAAATTCTGTGTCCTTAGGGCTCCTGGAAGGATAGGTAATTCCTAGACATTTGTTCTCCTGGCTTCCATTCTCTTTTCTTTTTATTAAAGGTTTGTATCTGGGAACCCAGTTTGATCTAGACCTGTTAGGAGCTTCTCCCTCACATTGCCCTCTTCACCCATCCCCATTTCTCCTTTCCCCTTCCCCTGACCCATCCTCAATAACCTACTACTCTAGATTTTAGTATTTGTACAACTGAGACCTGTAGAGGAAGGGAATAAAGGTGGAAGTTTGATGCTGAATGATTTAATCACAAAGTCTTTCAGGACTTGAATGAGGAATAGGGAAAGAAAGAGGAGGGCAGGGTGGCAGTATAATGTGACAGATACCTGAATTAGTGTTTATCATGCAGTTTCTGGCACTGCATTCCACCACTAAAATACAATGTGGTTAATTCAGTAAACAAGCATGTATTTAGTACCTACCATGTACCAGATACTAAGGATATAAAAATGAGGCCATTTTTGCTCTCAAAAAGCTTTTATTTTTATCAAGTATCATTTAACCTGGAAAGATGAATGTCTTATGGCTGAGCCAGGCCATTAATACCTGGAACCACTACCGACATATGCCACTGGAACCAGACAAAGTTTCCAGTGATATGACTAGAGGTTGACCGGTTTGTAGCATCTCTATCATCATATGCCAAACCAAGTCATATGTCCCTGTGGGGTTTGTCAGAACACTAGATAAAATATTTTATTCCTCTCCTCCTGCTAGCAGAAGGATTGTTTGTACTTTGAATGATCTGTGATTTTGTCAATATTAGTACTCCTGTCTCTCTGGTAGATTTCCACCCATCTTAATATATTATGAGTTGCACTGGCCAAAAACAATTCATCACTTAATTGGGTAACTTTTTGGTAATGAGCCTACATTAACTAGGCTTATCATCTGACCATAGTCATATAGTTCTTCACCAGGTTTTATTTGGAGCCTTTCCAGCTTGCCTAGACCTTATGAGAGATTGTGTTACATGGCAGAGCCTTTGAGAATCCAGAATTGTGTCTTTGTGAAAGACATTGAAGTAGAATTGTAGTGGAGGTATTTTATGCTATTGGTATATAAATACCAGTGTTTATGGTTATTTGAAAAATAGATCGCTAGTTATATTCCCTGAGTCATTTTTGCTTCTTTTCACCTACCACAGTCCCAGTATAGGGTAATACTTTATTGCTATGTGGTAATATCCAAATGAAGTAGATGAAGAATCAAAGGAAATGATGCTGTTTCCTTGTTTTTATTTTTCTGGCAAAGTTTAATTGTTTTAAAATGTTCCTGCAGTACACTGTTTAATGTACTTTATTGACTAAAGGTTCTGTATTTCATGGCATTAGAAATATTACAAACTAAATTAATATCTATTTTGGATGAGTTCATTAGAGTTCATTTTACATCAAATTTTTATGTTCTATATGTTAGTCCTTTTGAAAAAGGATGAATTACTGAATAAGTGTTTCAGGTGCTTGCTATTTTCAGCACATGACATTTTGTTATCAACTTTTCAGTTGAGCTTTCCTATTTTTAAAAAGTAAAACTGATAAAGATTTTGGTGCCTCACACCCATTCAATATATATGTTTATAGCTACAAAATTACTTGTTTTGAATATAGGAAATTACTGCAATTTAAAAAGAAGAATGGCAAAGAATATGCAGAATAAAACGATGTTTTAGGTTTTAACATTTAGTTGTCTTCTTTCTGTAGACACAGTGCTGCATTTGATAGAATGAAGACCTGATGCCACCTTAGGCATTGTAGGCAATATGACCCTGGGCAAGTCACTTAGCCTCTTTACTAATCTATAGCTTGTCTTTCTTTCCTCATCTGTAATATAAGGCATTTGGGCTTAATGACTTCTACTAAGGTTCCTTTTAGCTCCAAAGCTGAATTCTATGATTTTAAAATCCTGTGATCTGGGTTATGTTGTCATTTGTTCTCAAAATATCTAGTACAGAAGGGATTTACTAGATAAATGAAATGTTAGGATTAAACTAATACATATTTTTTGTAGTAGAGAAATAGGCAGCAGTTGCAACATGAAAATAGAATTGATTGCCAGTTAACCAAAATCCAAATGTCTATTGTGTTGGTATCTACCTTTTTTTTTTTACTCACAAGAAGCTTATACTTTATTTTATTTTATTTTTGCTTTAGTCAATCATAATTATTTATTGAGTGGCTACTGTGTGTGAAACATTGTGCTAAGGTTACAAAGAAAGGCAAAAGTCAGTCCTTGTCCTCATGAAGCTCACAACCTTTTTTTTAATTTTTAATTTTTTAAAATTAATTTATTTTTAGTTTTCAACAATGACTATCATAAGCTTTTGAGTTTTAAATTTTCTCCCCCTCCCTCCACACCTCCTTCTCCAAGGTGGCATGCAATCTGATATAGGCTCTG